GCAGGCGAAGGAGGAAGCAGGCTATGGATGCAGGAGCTGTGGCCCAGCCAGGTTCACAGGCTTTGGGAACCACATCTCCACGCCTTGTCCCTGGGCACAGTGCAGACCCCAGAGCCCACCCTGGCCCTGCCCCCTCCTCATAAAAGGATTCCTAGGAAGAGGCCATTTCTCCAGGTGGCCTTGGTGTGCAGGATTTTAAGGACCAAGTGGAACCCAGGCTGGGGGTTCCCAGCAGACTGCAGGTCCTGCTCTGGGCCAGGTAGACATTGGCGGGGTGGGGGGCTGTGTGAGGCTGGGCCCTGCTCCAGGGCGCCCAGTCCCTGCAGCCTCAGGACCTCAGCTTCCCTCCCCTGGCCAGTCCTTACTTGTAGTTGGGAAGCTGTCCTTGGGCTCCAGGACACTGGCCTTCTCTGATCTTCCTGTCTCGTGGCCAGCAGGCTGATGGGAAGTTGTTGCGCCCTCTGTCCCTCCAGCTGCCCCCCCCCCCCCGTACGCCCAGAAAAGCAGCAAGATGCCCTTAGCAAGGCACTCGGCTTCTGTAGGAGGTTCCACTCCCACAGCCAGACCAGGCGGCAGCAGGCTGCCCCCCACCGAGAAGAGGCTGGTGGCCACAGAGAACACAAGTGATATGTAAGGGTGCACAGTGCCAAGCCTGGAGTGGACAGACTATTCCCAGGCCCTGCCCAAGAGCCAACAAGCTATTGGAGACCCTGTGCCCCCAGCTGGCCGCCTCCTTGGGAAGGGCACACCTCTACTCTTCTACCACACAGAGGGCCACCCCTCCCCCTGGAGCAGCCTGAGGGCCAGGAGGACAGGAAGCCTAGTGGCTAGAGTCTCACCAGCACCCAGGACAATGACCAGCCCTGGAGAGCCTGCAAACCCAGCCCTGGGGACAGCAGGGACACAATGGATGTGGTCAGGACAGCCCAGTGGTCTCCCTGTCCTCCAGTGCAGGGTGGGATTGGTCCCCCATACTACATGCCCAGGGGAAGGGCAGTGGATCACTGATCACAGTCCATGCCCAGGAGGACAGAGCCCACCTGCTCCAGAGGTACCTTCTAGCTTGTCCTCACACATGAAGTCCCCCTGCCAGCCAGCCAGGCCTTGCTGAGGACTGAGACCTCCTGTGGTGGGTATGGAGCAAGGCAAGGAGGTCCAGAGAGACCCTGGGTGCCCTGCTCCAACCCCTCCCTGAGGAAAGGGACACTGAGTCAGGGAGCAGGAGGGAGATCTGGCCCTGTGTGTGTGTGTGTGTGTGTGTGTGTGTGTGTGTTGAGGGTCTCTAGCCTGGTGGTCTTAGGCCCCTTGATAGTAACAACCTGGGTTTCCCAGTAGACCCACATGTAATCCTAGGACAGGGGGAGGTCCTCCCCACCCAGAGTAGGGTCTCATCCCAGACTCCCTCCCATGATTGGGACAGGAACCCAGGGCCACCCTGGGTTTACAGTCAACACGCCCTTACCCCCAAGCCCTGGAGATTCCGCTGGTTGCCACCTACCCACACCCTGCCCGGCCCTGCCTCTCAGAGGCACGTGCTGAGGTGCTTTTCTGGGCAGTACCCTTGACTCCTCTCAGCCTTCTGCCCCACTTTCTTGTGTTCCTGTCCCCTTGCCAGCTGTGTGAGGTGCTGTTGTGATGAGATTTTGCCCTAAAGGGAGTCCCTTTCTGAAAACTGCTGGCATCTGTTGGTCCAGGTACCAGGCAGTTAAGATGGCACTAAGGGTCAAGGCAGGTTTCAGGGCCCTAGGTTGGCACCTGCCCAAGATGTGACAGTCTGTCCCTGTTTCCACACTAGGGTGGGGTACTAGAAGTGGGTGGGGTGAGGGCAACAAAGGGTGGGGGAAGAGGTCCCCACTGTTCTCCCTCTTCGGTTCTCATCTGCACAACTGAGCTACCCCCAAGGCTCAGCATACCCCAGCCTGCACAGATGGGGTCCACCCTCCACCTGGCCCTGAGTGACTGCCCATTCCCTTCATCTCCAGCCTTGTGAATGGCGCTCAGACAGCACCAAACTTGCACTCCAAAGCCCTAGGCGTTGCTCAGTGGTGTCTCAGAAGCAATTCCAGGCCCTGCAGCAAGATGGCGCCCATACCCCCCGGGGCCAGAGGCTGCCATCAGTGTCCTCCCAGAGCCAACCTCTTCAAGCCCTGGCGCCCAGGACTGCAATCCCTGCTCTTTCTGGGACCTGTTCAAGTTAACGCTAAGAGGAGCTGTTCAAGTTAACGCTAGCCTCCAGCCCAGGAGAGGGAAACCCCCAAAGTGCGCACCTCACTACACCCCCCTCAACCCTGCCCTCCCACTGCCTCCCCGCCAGCTCCTCACGGCGGGCGGGGGGCGCACCTGGGTGCCCAGGGCCGCGCATACTCGCTGCTGCACGCGGGGGCAGGGCCGCGTGCTGGCGGGCGCGGTGCTCGGCTCCGGATGCCCGGCATCTGGTAGCGCAGCTGCGGGCAGGGCGCGGGGTCTGGCGGGCGGTGGTCCGCAGGCTGCTCCGGGAGCAGCGGCTCCGTGCCCGAAGAGCCAGTCCCAGCACCGCGCCAGGACACCACGAGGCGACCCCTCGTTGCATGCATTCCGTGCGCCTCGAGCTCCACGCCGCGCGCGCTCCGCAAGCCACCCCCGCCTGACCCTGGAGGGTGGGACAATCAAGGGATGAGGGGGGCGGTGCGCGGGGACCTTGGATTCTCCAGTACAATCGCGGAGCTAACGAGCGGGGCGGGGCCTTAGGAAGTAGGTGGGGCCGAAGGTCTGGGGGTGGGGCTCAGTGTTTCCCATTGGTGCGAGTTGACGCTCCCCCAAGGAGCGAGCACAGAAAGTGGGAGGGGCCAAAAGAACAAACATCTGTCTGGGAGGAAGTACAGCCAGAATGCTCATTAGAGGCAAGGATGGCGGGACTCCTCACATCCTTTGGACGGGTTGTCAGGAGAGACCAGTCTCTGCAGAAGCACATCGTGCTTGGTCCAGCAGAGGGGCAGCGAAAAAGAGGAAGGCCCTCAAGGACATGGACTGACACCGTGGCTGCAACACTGGACTCAGGCCTGGAAGTGTCCGTGAGGATAGCGCAGGACCGCGCGGTTTGGTTCTGTCGTGCACCGGATGGGGTTGCTATGAGTCAGAACCGTCTCGATGGCACCTAACAAAAGGGGGTATGGG